AGAAGTGAGTAGGCAGAGTGGAAGGGAGTGGCCGGGGGGCTTTTTGCTGAATGGTCAGCAGTTCTGAACCAGGAGCAGAGTCTGTGAGAGGAAATCGGAACGCCTCAGCTGTTTGTTTTGTTTTGTTTTGTTTGAGGATTGTTTTCTTTTGCCTGAATAACTAAGGTTGAATAAGTCACCAAGCCATGTTTGAGCACAGAATGATAGAAGCCCTTCTAAGAAGGGAAAGAGTGCTACAGTCCATCTTAAGGTGTTTTACTCCAAGTCCAGATTTCATGATGGGGCCTCTGAATCTGGCCACGGCCTTGGCTCATTTTGCTAGAACTTGACCCATGAGTTGATCAGTTTATCTCCTCTGTGTTTCTAGGACACAGGACACAGTCTTTACCTCCAGCCAGTCTATACTTGTGATCTCTGGGGAGTGTGTATATGGAAGCTTCATGTAAAGGAACTTCATGAATCAGCAAGAAAGACAGGTTGAAGGGCATCACTTTTTAGAATATAAGACCGTGTGGAAAGAGCATTTGCTAGGAGTGAAGAAACTGGATTTCAATCCTAACCATGCCCCCTACTAGCTATGGGACCTTGTTAGTCAAGTAATTTTACCTCTTGGAGACCCAGAGATAATGATACCAGCTACAACTCTGCTATGCCTACTGTAAGTCTACTATAAACCAGCAGAATTTTGTAAGTGTCAAATGGAGAAGAGAGCATTGAGGTGTTAAAGGCTGTGCTGTCCAATATGGTAGCCACTAGCCATATGTAGCTATTTGAATTTAATTAAAATGAAATAAAAGGAAAAATTCAGTTCCTCAGTCACACCAGTCACATTTTTAAGTGCTTAATAGCCACATGTGGCTTGTGGGTACCATATTGGACAAAGATACAGAACATTTGCATTATCACAGAAAATTTATGGGACAGCTCTGCCTTGAAGTGCTATCTAGGATGTGATATTAAGGACATAAAAGATGCCAGATTTTAGGGGGGATAAATACTGTCATAGTTAAGGATTCTTGGAAACAAACAGGACCTACTCAAGTTAGCTGAAGTAAAAAAGGGACTTACTTTATTAATTCAGGAAACACTTATGGTTCCCAAGTCCTGGAATCATAGCTAGGCTTTAAAAGGAATTAGAAGCAGTTCCTAGAATATTATCAGGAACTAAGGGAGTCACTGTCTCCTTCTACTGTCTCTTTTTCTCTCATCTTCTTCCTGTGGTCACTTGTGTGCTTGTCTCTGTGTTTCTGTATGTCGATGGCTTCTCCCATCTCCTCTTCTTCCTCTCTTTCTGCTTCCGTCATCCCTCCCCTCTCTGCAGACCAGCTTTCTCAACCACACTATACATGGTCCAAATAGGCTCAACTAGACCTGGTTCACATCACTTCTCAGGGATAATGTATGACAAAGGCTGGCTCCTGATTCCAGATTCCCAGGAGGAATATTCTTATTAGCCAGCTTGGTGTGATAACCACCAACCAGCTGAATCCAGGCGTATGGGGGTTGCCCCATGCTAGTTCAGTAGGGGAAGGGGGGGGTAGGTGCTCTCAAAAGGAGCCTATGTGGGATGGGTTTGGGTCATTGGCTACCATACTCATCCTTAACACCTTGGAGAGGGCCATTGAGCCTATGATCACACAGGGAGGAGTAACCAGAGATTTGACCGAGGTCATGAAGAAAAGGAGTGTGATGCCATTTCTTATTTGGTTATTTATATGGTTTGAATCAACAATACAGATTCCCAGGGGTTTGGCTTAACTTCCACATCCCCGGATGGAAGTGGGCTCAGCCAAATGCAAGGCGGAAACCTGGCCTAAGCCTTTGTCATTTCTTAAATGCAAAATAGGAACTTATGAGACCCTTTTCTCTTCTGCCTTTAGGAAGAAACATGAGATCCCCCTGGAAATCACTTAAGAGGAAGACGGAAGGGGCCCTTTAAAATAGATCCGCAGCTGAGGGCCGCAAGGCTGGGGCCAGAGGGCTGGCAGTGGAAGACTCTGTTGGGTTGTGATCTCTCACTGAGAAGCTCCAGGTGCTTTTTTGCTTCCTGCAAAACAAAGGAAGAAAAGGAGACGACCATGTCGATAGCTCTCAAGCAGGTGTTCAACAAGGACAAGACCTTCCGGCCCAAGAGGAAATTTGAACCTGGCACACAGAGGTTTGAGCTCCACAAACGGGCTCAGGCGTCCCTCAACTCGGGTGTGGACCTGAAGGCGGCCGTGCAGCTGCCCAGCGGGGAGGACCAGAACGACTGGGTGGCCGTGCATGTGGTGGACTTCTTCAATCGGATCAACCTCATCTACGGCACCATCTGCGAGTTCTGCACCGAGCGGACCTGTCCTGTGATGTCAGGGGGCCCCAAGTATGAGTATCGGTGGCAGGATGACCTCAAGTACAAGAAGCCGACTGCACTGCCCGCTCCCCAGTACATGAACCTTCTTATGGATTGGATCGAGGTCCAGATCAACAACGAAGACATCTTTCCAACATGTGTGGGTAAGTCCATGATCAGCTTCTTGGTGATTTTGTCACATCCCACCCAAGCTCAGAAGGTTTGCAGAACCTTCTTTCAGGACTGCCTTTGAACGCTGGATACCACACATCATCAATCAATGTTTCCCTAAATTCCATCTCTCACCTAACTGCAATTCCTTTTTCCGTATCTAAGAACCTCATTGAAATTTTGAAAAAGATTGTTTGTGGACCACTCACAATAATGTCATGGACCTCAGTCATGAAATTACACATACCACATGCTGGGGAACATTGACTTGGTGAAATGTTAGATTTTATCTTGCTGGCTTCCTTAGGACTAGACTCCAAACCCACAGTCATCCTGGTAAGGTTCTTATTATTTGACTAATTAAGTAGGTAGAGTTACATTCCCTCTGGTGCAGTTACTGGTATTCATCTCTCAGGTTAAGAAATCCTAGTATGAGGAGTCATGGATTTGTTTGGGGATCAATCAAACAAGGGATTTGCATTCTGGGAAAATAAAGATCCTGCCATTCTATTGATCATAGGTGATTAATTCCAGGTTGTGTTAACTTTGGACCCTTGTGTAGTTGCTAGATCCACCAACCCACCAGGACACTTGACATGCAAATACTTTTGTTTCCCGTGTGCTGCGAGTCATAAAACTCTTCAAGGGGAAGGGCCAAACCTTTTCTACCCCTTGTATTTCTTTATGCTGCTGATCATTGGAGTTTCCATGCACTGACAGACTGAATTTATTTTTTTATTTTATTTTATTTTTTTTAAATATATCTTTATTGATTTCAGAGAGAGGAAAGGAGAGAGGGAGAGAGAGAGAGATAGAAACATCAATGATGAGAGAGTCATTGCTCAAGCCTGAAACCGGGCATGTGCCCTGACCGGGAATCAAACCCTGATCGCCTGGATCCTAAGTCAATGCTCAACCTCTGAGCCACGCCTGGCCGGGCTGACAGACTGAATTTAAAATTCCGTGTTTTTTTTAAGCCCTAGGTTCAGGGGGAAAGAGCAGTCTCCTTACTTCCATTGTCCTAGCTCCAGTGTCTAGCTAGCATGGTGCCCGGAAACCCTCACAGGCGCGCAGGAAATATTTGTGGAATGACTGGGAAAATACTTGTGCTGTTAGAAAGTATTCTGAAAAAGCTCTGAGATGGTTGGGGTATAAGAGAAGCATTTGAAACACATTGCTGAAATCACCTCTGGTTGGGCTGTGTGTGTCCCCACATGGCATATGGAAAGTTGAGGTGGGGCACATGGAAATAATTAAGTGAATACCAGAAAAAAAAGTGTATAAATTGATGAAGGCAGTGCCGGCATCTTAAAATATTCAGCACACAGAGCAATTTGCTCAGACGCATGGTGTTGCCTTGACTTGTCCAGTCCCCTCATGCTCCTTCTCTCTGCTGTCCCTTGTGAAGAAGGAGGGGGGTTGCTAACCCTGACTCACCAGAGTGGGAGGAAGAAGGC